CTTTCTTTCTTTCTTTCTTTCTTTCTTTCTTTCTTTCTTTCTCCCCTTCCCCTTCCCCTTCCCTTTCTTCTTCTTCTTCTTCTTCTTCTTCTTCTTCTTCTTCTTCTTCTTCTTCTTCTTCTTCTTCTTCTTCTTCTTCTTCGAGACAGGATCTCACTCTGGCCTGGACCTCACTATGTAAGATGCAAGATGGCCTCAAACTCACAGAGATCCACCTCCCCTGACTCCAAAGGGGAGTAAAAAAAAAAAGGCATGTACCACCACAACTGGTACCAGCTGTGGATTTTTATAAGAAGTCATGGGAGATGGGGTGACAGTGTAGGCCTGGAACCCCAGTAGCAAAGAATCTGGATAGCAGGTCTAAAGTCAACCTAGGCTACATAGAAAGGCCCAACCACCCACCCCCAAAAAAGTAAAAAGGGCATAGAAAATAGAGGAAGGAGGAGAAAACAAGAAAGGGAGGGGAGAAGACAAACCTATAAAATAAGGAATAATTTAGGAAGGCTAACGGATTCAGGAGATAATAAATATTAAGGACCAACTAAGAGTGGGGCTCAGCTGAGCCCTGACTTTCCGGTGGCAAACCCTGTCTTTTGCCAGTCCTGTGACTACACTATGCCCCAGAAAGAGGAGGGATGCTGTCTTTTGCACACTTAATCATTGCACTTGCTCATTAAAAGTCACAGCTTTCTTAAGTTGCCAAAGGTCTCTATGGGTGATATTTTAATCTTTATACATGTGACAGAGTTAAAACTGTGTATCGCCCACCCCAAGTGGGGCAAATCTCAGAGACGGGTAAGGAACCCAGGAGTGAGTGCCACCCGAAACAAGGGACTTGAACAAGGAGAGGCCCCGAGGGCACACCCTCCCCTTTCAGCTGTCTCTGGTAGTGGTTAGTAGCAGAGACGTCTCCTTAGGACTCCTAAGGATAAAAGGCCATAGCTCTGAGCCAGAAAGATCAAGTGTAACATCTCCCTGTCAGGTTGTCAGGGGCAACAGAGCAAGGCAGCAGGGACAGCAGTGGGTCAGATCCTTAACTGGGATCAGGAGCCGGAGTCTGATGCAGAACAGGCACCTCGGTGAGCCAATAGAGTAGAGACAGGAGAAAGGTGGGGTCTGCAGTTCTGTGGTGTGGCGAATTTTAAAGGGCTTGCTTCGTGGTGAAGCCAGGGGTTCCTTGACCCTTGGAACATGCCTCTGTGGACCTGCCAGCCCCTAGTGCTAATGAGAGGCGTGGTTAATGCACTGCAAAAGGAACAGGTTCTTCCATTCACCAAGGATTTTCTGGACACCTGCTGTGTGCCTGGCACCATTTCAGGCCTCAGGGAGATGGCAGGGGACTAACCAGGTCAAATCCCTGCCTTCTGGGCTTACATGCTGATAGCCACTCAAACCAGGAGGAACAAGAAGGGACAATCAGAGTTCAAGCCTGGAAGCCGAGAAAGGCTGAGTGCATGTGCACACATGCACACACGCTCTCCCATCACTTCCCAGGGCACACCCCAGGTTGCCTAAGGAATGCCTACTAGAACTGCCTGTTAAAGAGGCCTAGGCTCCCATCACAGTGAAGTCCCACTTATCATGCATATAAACGAGTCTCTGCACCATGTTCCAAAAGCCATTTAGAAAATGGTAACTGCCACGTGTGCTGCTAAAATGTCCTCTTTAGGACAGCAGTGAGACAGCCCTAGGTAGTCCCACTGACATCCTTATGAGGTGGAGTCCATGACAGCCCACATCCACATCATCCCACCACCACCCTACCCGCCCCCCACATAAGCATGCTTCATCCCTCAGCATCTCCCCCAAGTCTCTCCAGCTGTCTACTTTGGCTCTCTGTCTCCCCATCTGTCAAAAGAGAGGGTGGGTTCTCTTAGGACTCAAGATCCTCAGCCCCTGGGGCAGCCTTCAGACAGAAATTGCTGCTGACTCTCTGCCCGGCTGAAGAAGTCACGTGACCTTGCACACGGAGGACTGTAGAGCACTGCAACTTAAAACCCTGTTTGACTTTGCTTAATTCCATTGTTTCCCCAACTTTTTGACCCTGTAGCTCTTTATTTCTGTTTAACAGCTACAAACACCCTGGAGAACACAGGCCATTATGGAAATAATGTGCTGAATGTGGCTGAAGGAAGACCAAGAAGAATTTATTCTGCCTGAGGTGCTGGCGTCCAAGAAAAATACAAGTGTGCAGGTCTTGAGTGATGAGTCAGGACCCAGTGGAAGCAAAGCACGCACGCGCACACACACACACACACACACACACACACACAACACATGCACACACACACAACACATATACACACATACACATACACTGCACACACACCACCCCACACACACGGTGCACAGTAGAGGGTAGGAAGGCTCCAGGCTGCCCAGGGAGCTGCAGTGGGTGGGTCCCTGGGTAGAGGCCAGCCTCCAGGAAGACGGGCCCAGAGGTCTCTATACTAAGGTGCCTATGCTTTATTCTGAAGTCAAAGAGAACCTTCTCGTGTTTTTTACGAATAGCAATCACATGGTCAGATCTACGATTCAGAAAGTGAGTTCTGGCCGCTTCTGAAGGCTGGAGGAAAAGGGCAGCAAGGCAGCCAGGACCAGGGCTTCTGGCTAGGGGCAATGAGATGTGAGCAGGAGGAGAGGCATGCAGCAAAGGGAAGAGGGTGCCCCAGGACCTGAACCCTACAGGATGAGAGTGAGAGAGCAGTCAGGAGACCCTGTGGTGCCCGGGGCACGATGATGCCCTTCCCTCGGAAGCACACCTATGTGAAGAATGTACCGGTGCATCTCTGTGTAGCCTCTGAAGTGTCTGTGAATCATCCTGGAGCGATGAGCTGGGAGCAGCCAGGTGGGACTACCATGCCAAACTAGCCTCAGGTCTCAGTGTGTATCCCAAGAAAAGTTCATTTTGTGCTTTCCCAAAGTCTGATGTCAATGAAAAAACAAGGGTCCCTCCTCTGTCTTTAGATTTGCTTTTTAGAACCTGTAGCTTTGAGATCACTTATGACAGAAAAAAGAGAGCCAGTGAATGCCAAGATGCTCCAAAAGCTTGAGATTTAAGAGTCCCTCCATTTATTTCACACAAGCCAGGGCTAGCAGGGGAGGCTGAGAGACACAGAGCACGGGACATCATGCAGACACTGATTTCACTGCCCCCCTAGGGAGAACTCAGGAGCTCTTCAGGAATGGCCACAGGGGACCCATGACTGCTGGAAGTCAATGGGAAGACTAAGCAGGAGCACTCAGAGGCTATCGAGGTACTTTCAGAGATGACTCGGGAGTTAGTGCAAAGCTGCTGTTTCCATGTAGAGAATCCCCATCCTCCACTGAGCCTCTTTGTTCCCACACTGGCAGCCAGGAGCAGTTGGCAAGGTCTGGGCACACTGCAGCTCTGGAGCTCACCACAAAGCCTCCCCATTCTAGATTTCTCTGGAGGAGTCTTCCTGAGCCCTCTACTTTCGTAGGCATTTGGAAAGAAGCCTCACAGTGCTCTTGTTTGTGAGATTCATTTCAGAAATCATAAGTTTTGCTACCAAATTACTCAATGTGAAACTGATGTTGACTTAAACTGTTTCCAGGTTTAAGAATTCTCATCACAAAAATTTGGTGGAAAATCATGGCTTGAACAGTTTCAACTTGGGGGTTGATTAAAACTCAGTTTTCCTCAGAACAACTTCTTTAATGAAAACTAGTCAACAGGCATGAGTTATGTTCTCAAACTGTGCTTGTGAGACCAGGTAAAGTGTCCCCAGTCTAAGACTGTAGGAGTCATGGGATATCCAGTGTTTGTTACCATAGCAGATATTTGCATTTCGAGGTGAATAGGTGGATGGATAATGGATGGATGGATGGATGGATGGATGGATGGATGGATGGATGGATGGATAGGGGGTGAATAGGTGGATGGGTGGGTGGATGGATGGATAAGGGGTGAATAGGTGGATGGATGGATGGATGGATGAATGGATGGATGAATGGATAGGTGGGTGAACAGGTGGATGGATGGATGGATGGATGGATGGATGGATGGATGGATGGATGGATAGGTGGGTGGATGGATGGATAAGTTGATGGGGAATGGATGGATGGATGGAAGGGTAAGTAGGGGAAAATGGGAAGGTGGGTGAGTAGATGGATGAATGAGTAAGTGAGTGGGTATATGGATGAATAAATGGGTGGATGAGTGGACAAGTGCATAGATAATGAGTGAGTAAATGGATGGATGGATGGTAAATCTATGATAATGGGCAGGTGAATGGATGGTTAGGTAAATGGGTGGGTAGATGGTCAGGTAAGTGGATGAATGCACAGATTAAGAGTGAACAGGTGAATGGTAGATAGATGAATAATGGACAGGTAGGCGTGTGGAAGGATGGATAATAGGTAAGTGGATGGATGATGGATGAGCAAATGGATAAGGATGAAAGAATGATAGGGGGATGGACAAGTAAGTGGATATGCCTGTCACACAAAAGTTTTCTGGATCTTAACTTCTCAGCTACAACTAGTGCTGTACCAGCAATGTGCTCTCAGGGACGAGCCCTGAGCTGGGAATCAGGTGTTCTGTCTCCTCTGACATCCTGAAATCCCTCCCCTGAGAGATGCCACCATGTTCCTCCTCTACTAAACGACACTTTATCCAGTGTTGGTCAGGACACCTTTCAACCTCCTATCCAGTCACTGTTTCCTACGTCATCCTTCCTGAGGCTCTCATCTCTGCCCAGAACACTTCCTCTTCAGAAACACACCCTGGGATGCAACACACATAATCAACTGTGAAGTTGGCAAACCCTCCCCGAAGCTGCACAGGATTGACAGGACACCATCTCCACACTCTGGAATAACACGACAGTACTCTAAGCTGGGGAAGTTTATGCCTGAGAGCTTTAGACCTTCAGGGAGAAAGAATGGGGTGTATAGGACTCTAGCCCAGGGCCTTTTACATATTCCCCTTCTTGCTGGGCACACCTGGGGATTCTTTCCCATGGAACAGGCAGCAGGAGCTGCACTTGCGACACTGAAGGTGAACCCCAAAATCTAGAGCTAAGAGCAGCATGCCTGCTAGGTGGTACTGATGGTGGAAGTGACAGCCTGAGAGGTGACGTAGCCTGGCTGTGCACAGGTGTAATGGAGCCTGAAGAGGACCCCAGCTAGTTCTGGGTTCCAGCTGACCCTAAGTCTGAGTAAGACCTGCAGCAAGCATGAAAGTTCCAGCAAGGAGAAGCGGCCAGGCAGACTGGACACATGTGTGTCTGAATGCTCCCTCCGCACACAAAGCCCTTAGTGACACACAGAAGGCTGACTAGGCCTAAGTGACTGAGGCTAGCCTGGTCTCTGAGCTACATAGACACAGGGCACAAGGGCCAGCCTTAAAATTAATTTTAGAGAAAAAAAAATACCCCAAGGGCCAACAGCAACATAACAAAGAGAGAACGCCACAGTTAGCGCAGGCATCCCTGAAGGGAGTTACTATGCGTTGATGCCGTGTGTTATCAAAACATGAGAAATACAAAGAAACAGGGGAATACTATCTGTTCTCTACAAGGATGGGGTACTACCTGGAGGCCTCCAGATGTTGGACTTGGCAAGAAATACACCAACAAAAACACAGATTGTTATTGACAACCACAAATCAATAAATTGAGTCTCAATAAAGACAGGAAAAACATTAAAGAAACAAAGTTTCTAAAATTGAAAAATACAGTAATATGGAAAATTCACTGAACCGCTTCAACAATAGATCTGAGGGAGCAGAAGAATTGATGAAATTGAAGCAATTAAGACATTCCATGAACAAGAACAGAGGGAGGAAACCGGATCATCCTCGGCTGCCTGTGAAGCAGTATCCGCACACAAACCACATGACCCCGGATGAATGAAGAGAGAGAGGAAGGTGCTAAATGAATACATAAAGGAATCACAGCAAGACTTTTCTAAGGCCGATGTAAACTTTTAAATGTCTCAGCAATCTTACTACCCCATCCAGACCAAAGAAATGACCACATGAGTCCATCACAATCAAAGGAAAGACACAGAAAACCACAGAAGAAGCAGGAGAAAAACAGTTCATTATATATTGAGGAACAATAATATAATTGACAGCCTTTCGTGGAGGGAGGGGGAGGGCAGAAAGCTGTAGAATAACTATTTTTTTTTTAAAAAAAAAACTGTCCACTAACAAATCAGTACCCAGAAAAACTATCCTATCAAAATGAAAGTGGAAAAAAAAGAAACAGGAAAAAACAATGTGTATTAAAGAAATAATGAAAAAATATTGATAGAATTCCTTGCTAGTAGACATGCCTTGCAAAAATAAATAAGTAGATAGATAGATAGATAGATAGATAGATAGATAGATAGATAGATAGATAATAAAATGCTGAAAGCTCATCACACAGAAAGACCAGGTAGGAGGTAAGTTCAATCCACAAGAAGAGATAGGAAGCACTAGAAATGGTAAGTGTGAAAGGTGATGTGAAATTTTTTCAATTCCAGACATCTCTGGAACTATTTTAAAGATATGGGCAATGAGAAGCCCAGCACAGAGATGGGGAAGAAGAGACACACTGAAACAAAACACACTTAAAACATTAGCAATGATCTGATCGGTTAAAAGTGTTTTTAGAAAAAAAATGCTTTCACAGATTATTCAAGAATATAACTCAAATATAAAGTGTCCTAGTAGGGCTACTGCTGCTGTGAGGAAACACCATGACCCAAGCAAGTTGGGGAGGAACGGGTTTATTTGGCTTACACTTCCAAATCACTGTTCATCATAGAAGAAAGTCAGGACAGGAACTCAAACAGGGCAGGAGCCTGGAGGCAGGAACTGTTGCAGAGGATATGGAGGAGTGCTGTTTACTGACTTGCTTCCCGTGGCTTGCTCAGTCTGCCTTCTTATAGAACCCAGTAACATCAGCCCAGAGATGGCCCCACCCACAATGGGCTGGGCTCTCCCCATCAATCTCTAATTAAGAAAATGCCCTACAAGCTGCCTATAGCCCAATCTTATGGAGGCATTTTCTCAATCGAGGTTTTTTTCCCCTCAAATGACTATAACTTGTATCAAGCTAAAACTAAAACTGAAATATAAAACTAGCCATCACATAGAGCTTTTTAAAAAGCAAGAAATAAAATGGGACATTAAAAATATTTAATACAGGCTAGAGGGATGGCTCAGAAGTTGAGAGTATTGACTATTCTAGAAGTCCTGAGTTCAATTCCCAGCAACCACATGGTGGCTCACAACCATCTATAACAAGATCTGATGCAGACAGAATACTATATACATAATAAATAAATAAATCTTTAAAAAATATTTAATACAAAAAAAAGAGGTAAAAAATGAATAGAAGAAAAAATAAGAGATCTATGCAAGGACAAAAATGGTGACTATAAATACAGTGTGATACAAATCACACACTAAATGTGAATGGCCTAAACACCCCCCAATCAAAGGCAGATATTGTAGAGCTGGAAAAATAAATAAGATACGACTAGGTCCTATTTTTAAAAAAAAAAAATGCACTGTGTTCAGAGACATAAGTCTGTCAGAGACAGCAAGATAGAACTATAATATACCATGAAAGCACTAACTACAATAATTCTAATATTTAACAAAATAAACTTAAAGACAAGAAATACTACTAGCCACAAAGAGGGCCATTTCCAATGGCCAATGGGTCAAAACATTAAAAAGATAGAAAAATCATAAACACATTCACCCCTAATACAACAGTTTCAAAATATGCCAAGAAAGAACCAGCAGAATTAGAAGACACAGGTAGTTTTACAGAAATAGATCAGACTATCCCTTCAAGAACTTCTGAGGCAATTAAGTGAGAAAAATCAAGAAAACAGAAGATTGGAGCATCTCATCTGTCAGACCACACTAATTGACCCATGGCTGCAGGTACATTCTCCTCAAGCACACATGGTCATCCTCTAAGAATGCAAAGGTGTGAATGAGCCTCAGTGAATGTAAAAAGACTGAACTCATGAGAACTGTAGCCTCTGACAACACAGCAACTAGAAAAAGGCCACAATTCCAAAGCTGAATACCTCACTTCTAAGCATATCTAAACATATCCCCCAAGTCAAAAACAGAGAAGAGAAATCATGAGAGAAATTAGAAGAAATTTGAATGGATGTAAAATATGGTATATGAATTTTTTTTTCAAAACTTAGGAAGAAATCTATACCTTTAAAGACCTGTGTCAGAAGTAGAAAGCAGAAAAACAGAGAAATCAATAAAACAAAAGAAAATGTTTTAAAATATCATAAAATTGATAAACTCTTAGCCAGATGAGAGGGAGAGAGGGGAAACACAAACAAAATCAGTAACAGGAATGAAAAGGGAGACATCACTACCAGTCAAACAGAAATAAGATGGGTCGTAAGTTCTATAAAGACAGCCAAGGACAGTAGGGCAGACTACAATCACCCAACCAAGAGGCTGAAGCAGGAGGATTGTGAGTTTGAGACTAGCCTGAGCTGCAAAGTAAGACTCTGGGGAAAGAAGCGGTGGAGGGGAAAAAAGGAAGAAAGAGTTCTGTAAGTAATTTAATGTTGGTGAATTAAACAGCTTAAGACAGACAGGCACATTTCTGGAGATACTCAAGGTATCCCGGTTGAC